AAACAAGCACCGTGTGCCGCTGGCTTAACACTTCCTGCACCTTACGAAACTGTTGACAACTGTCAAGGAGACGTACATCCGTGAGGAGTAACGTGAGAAAATACATCTATATACAAGAGAAAAGAGGAAGAACGCGCAATTAGTTGCGGCGCGGTTCAACGTAAGTGCGTGTGAATGTAAACTCTATCGTGACGAAGCGAACATTCGTCCGCTGAAATTATTCACGTACTTTCCTTCTGTGACCCGTGCGATTGTGAGTGTGCCGCTTGACTATATGTATGCAGGAAGATCGTGCTATGTAGTTATTGCGATGCGATTGCGGATGAATAAATAAGAAATCACCGAAACGCTTTCTACTGCGCTTTGTATTCGCTGTAAATCGAGCTGCAAATCAGTCAACAGAAATTATCTCTCCTCAAAGTTATTATACGTACTTATTCGTTATTTTTCTTATTTTTGTACGTCTTGAAGTTGGGGGAAAGGTAAGTATTCAGTATAGGGGGATATACCTTTTATCTCTATAATTATATATAATTTACGTATCGTGAAAAGAACTGCACGAAACTACACAAGAAGAAGAAATACACGGGTACATGTTGAATCTTAATCTAATCTTAGAAAGAAACGTGAAAAGTGTACTTTGAGAAAAAAAGGGAATTGATAAGGCAAATGTATCAACGCATTTTAAATGCATACTTATATGCAAACGTATATTTATATTTCAGTGGTGTTTATACTGAAAGGATTTTGCAAAATCTTAATAAGATTCTGACAAAACATAGTCACGACAACATGGCCCTTGTAAATCAACATGTTGCAACTAATCCTTGTCTAGATACCAATATGTCACTTGGAATAGACGAAGCATGTTTCAGCATTGTGAACAAATATAATATATCTGTTATGTTGTATTCCTACCTGTCAGAATGCTATTTGGTTCGTATTTGTCAGGTGAAATATCTTATATGAAAATAATCTCATCAGACTAACTTTTAAAAATTCTAATTTCTTTGCAATAGTGCAATGGAGTGCCAAGAGCAACTTTGCTAGCAAGCAAGAATACTACATTGGTTATACCTACAAAATATCCTCTGCATGTGTTTTATAAAACTAACTATGAATTTTGTCAGTAAGTAATTTAATGATATAAAAATATGCTATAATATAATCATGTTATCATCTATAATTTGATATTAAATTTTAATATGTTCATTATTAAAGTATAGAAATACATATGATTGCAAGTTATCAATTTTTTATATTTCTAGCACTACATACAATTTTAAAGAACATGGAAGTTATGGGTGGAATATCTCCCAAGAAGATCTATGCTCGGATATTTACACAATTCGTGAACCGATAAACAGTTACCTTCGTGAGTCAGAATTTTGTTTACTTCTATACAATTTTAGTCTGTAGAGTTTCACTGATTGACTAACAATCGTTTTTCTTTACAGCGATATTTGTAGCCTTTATGGTATTTACTCTTTTATGGGTCTTATTCGCAACGTGCAAGGTGATTGTACGTGTGGTGAAAGGAAAATTATCACCAGATAGCGTACATGATGTAAGCTTTCCTTCTTACACAGATGTACATCATGGCATCACACAAATATTAAAGATACTTATCAATTACATCGTGTTTTTTCAGGACTTGGACAGACTCCAAGAAGCAGAGTCGTCGAACCCGGTGATTAGGACAAGCAGAGTCAATACCAGAATCCGTTCAGTTGACACGTTTCGAGGGTATTGTTTGTCATTACTCATAATACAATGATGTATCTAATGCCAAGTATCATATACAACAAAAATCGTTTTCAGGATTTCCATATTACTGATGATATTCGTGAACAACGGTGGCGGTAAATATGTATTCTTCAATCACAGCGTTTGGAATGGGCTAACCGTGGCGGACTTGGTACTACCTTGGTAAATAGTCATATGTATTTTATCGCCATTATTATATCGTACATTGTGCTGTACCCTTTTACGTGTCGCTTCGTGCTCAGGTTTGCATGGATCATGGGATTGTCAATTACCATATCGAAACGGTCGGAACTTCGCGTGTCGAATTCACGCGGCAAGATTATCTTACGTTGCTTGCAGCGCGCGTTTATCCTTATACTCCTGGGTCTGATGTTGAATTCGATTCACACGAAGTCATTAAAGGACCTCCGCTTTCCGGGCATTCTTCAATTGCTGGCTGTTTCGTACTTTGTGTGCGCCACTATCGAGACCATATTCATGAGGGCACACTCTCAGGTTTGACCGAATAACATTTCCGGCTGTACCGTGTACGTACACGATATTTGCCGCATATGTTGCATACACACGTGTCTGTTTGCAAGATCAATTTGCGTTAATTTATTAATTCTTCAGGACGACTTGTTGCAGTTTGGTCGATTCACAGTATTGCGAGACATTCTGGACAGTTGGGCACAATGGAGCATTATCGTAGCAATCGCGACAACGCACACTCTCATCACTTTTCTCTTGCCCGTTCTGGACTGTCCGAAGGGATACTTGGGACCAGGCGGTTATCACTTATTTGGAAAGAACGCGAATTGTACTGGAGGTGCAGCCGGTTACATAGACAGGCTTGTTTTCGGTAGTCACATGTATAATAAGACGCACAATCCCGTCTATGGTACTATTTTACCTTACGACCCTGAAGGTATGACAAACAAGTCAAATTCTGTTATTCTGTCGGTCACAATCAGAATTCTAAAAAATGCTGTACTCGCTTTATTAACGTAACACATTTGCAGGAATAATGAATACTATATCTGTAATACTTGTCGTGTATATGGGAGTACACGCTGGTAAGATCTTGCTACTTTACTACCAGTGCAATGCAAGGATAGTTCGTTGGCTACTGTGGTCGGGCGTCACGGTGAGCTTCAATCTTGCGAGAAATCCATTTTTTGTCCCTGGATTACTTAGTAGTGTATATTTTTGGAACTTAAAAAAAATAGATACACCTGTTAGAAAAAAAAAAAAAGTAGAAAATTAGCACAAGATTGTTGTGCAGTCTCTTAATTCGAAAAACAAAACTATATATACATGAAATAAAAAAAGGAAGGGAATGTAATTTATGTACGAATAATAACCATAAATAAGGTTTTGATATTAATATTGATATTCACAGGGTCTCATCGCGGGAATACTGTGTCATTTCGACAAGGAGTCTGGAGTGATACCGGTCAACAAGAGGATGATGTCGCTTTCGTTTGTTTTGACTGTATCATGTTTTGCATTTTTATTATATGCGATCTTGCATTTCTTCGTCGATTACAAACAATACTGGAGCGGAGCTCCGTTCATTTATGCAGGTTTGTGTACATATATATATTACGTATATATATATTACGTATGTATGCGTATTTATAGAATACTGTCCAATAATGTAGCTATTAGAGATGTGCGAACTATTCAAATTCGAATCGAATCTAATGTAATTCGATTCGATTCGAATCTGAATCCCTATAATTCGAATCCGAATAATTCGAATAGGAATCAAATACATTATCGTTTGCGTGCATCAGGTACAAAACGGGCCATCTGGGCTTGTATGTCTGAACTCTTAACTTATAATTAACTTAACTTATAATTAATAACTTAAATATTTAAATATATATTTTACTTTAAAATGATACTACAATATTCCCTTTCATATTAAAATTTTCCATCATTATTTATATATTTAATAGTCATGTTAAATTTTTTAATGATTCGATTCGATTTTATTCGATTCGATTCGAATTCGAATTTAAAAAATGAAATTCGATTTGATTCGAATTCGAATCGACATAAAAATTCTTTATTCGCACATCTCTAGTAGCTATATATTTCTGTTTTGACATTTTGGTATTTTGATATTGTTTTTTTTTCCTTCAATAACATGTACACTTATGTAGTTTTACATCCAGACAGACACAATTAGTAAATTATTAATTAACATCATATTTAAGTTATCTCTAAATATCACATCAACATCCAACCAAATATCACGTCAATATCCAACATCACATTTAAGTTACCTTTTAAATAAGACCTTACAGTTAATATGATTAGATATTATATGTTATATAGTGACTAGTTTGTCTTTGTTTCATAGGTCTGAATCCAATCACCCTTTATATTGGTCATACCATTACCATGGGCTTATTCCCATGGGCTTGGAAATTGACTTATGCTACACATTGGTCATTACTTGCTATGAACCTATGGACTACAACTTTATGGTGTATCATTGCATATTGGCTTTACTTGAAGGACGTTATTATATCTATTTAAAATAATTTTTTCGAGGTAGCAGTGTTACATATATATAGCGACAGGTATCGTTGCATTAACATATTCCTGCGTGGAATTTAAGGGAATCGTTACATATTGTAATACTGCGCGTAATTGTATGCTTTATGAAGCTGGAAGAAAAATATTGATCATGGAAGCAACTATTTCTGAACAGTTTGCAGTGAGAGAAATGATATTGAGTGAGAAGTTCTACAAAACATAACGTGTATAAATGTTTCTTGACGAATTTTGTAAAATTATACAAGTTTGACTTCATTTTAGACATCATAATGTATACTAACTTTCTAAATAATCAATGTCTTTTATAAAATTCAACCACCTCTCTCATTTCTTCTCTTTTGATCTCTTTCATTTTTATACTAACAATATCAATATATTAATATCTGAATAAATACTTCAAAAATTAATATAAAATCCAAATATATCCTTTTGAATATTCTCCGTTAAATCTTAAATTATGATATAAATACATGGTACATCTTCAATTGAACAAGTACCATTACAGCAAAAAAATATTACGTCATTTATGCATTTCTCCATTGTGGAAACTCATATGACAAACCCAAAATGTCAAAAATACTCTTTTCGCTTGTGATTTCCTCGATTTTACCTATAATATATAAGAATGTTCTATTGTATTAATTGGTCTTACAAATTACTAAGCTTTAAAATACTGTTTCGATATATCTTATACAAATCCTACCTGTAGTTACAGATTTCAATGTATGTTTATTGAGGATATATTTCTTTTCCAATGCATGTGCTCTAATAACCTTATTAAATATTTCACTTCCCGTATAATAAAGTGCAGCACAATAATAATGATCATAAAATACAAGTTGTATATTCAGCCTTCTGAAAGGTCCTTTCTTACGTCTAGGTAATCGACATGCACCCTATAAGATAAATACACAAACATCTAAAAGTTTTCTAATTTACTTCTAATTGTATTACCATAAATGTGATAGCTCCAAGGGATATTGTTTCTCTGATTAGATTTTTATCTTCAAGACATTCAAGAATTGCTTTCATGGTTATTTCTGTGTCCTTCTTTTTAATATTTGACTTGTAATCAGGATGTGTTACAACAGCAATGATAGGTTCATTATCCTCCAAGCCACGCCTATAGCTTCCACAAAAGGTTACAAGATACTTGTTGTCTAACTCCTCGATAGCATCTTTAAATAAATTTTCTATTCTCATGATCTCATCTCTAGTTATTTTCTTCTCAAAATCATCAAAGTACCTAGAAATTTGAATTTACTTATGTCTTGCATCAGATAGTGTTTTTCACATAGATAAATCAATTCTGTACTTTAATTCTATTCTTTGTTGTCTGTTAAGTTTGTCTTCATGCTGCTTAAGGTCTTCCAATGTTTCAATACCAGCGCTTATTAATTGTTCTGCCTTTGCAGGACCTATACCAGGTATTTTCATTAACAAGATAATAGCATCTTGCTTGTCATCTTTTTTGACCTTTACAAAAAATATAAAGATTTAGGAAAATATCTTCTATACCACTAAAAAGATAAGCAAAAGAATTATTACAGTACTTGTTGCAATTCTTTATGTGTTCCTGTCTCAAGAAACTCATTTATATGGTCTGCAATTTTTTTTCCTATACCAGGTAATTTCATTGCCTCATACGCATTTTTTATCCTTCCTGGCAAAGCACTTAACATTTCAGCAGCATTGCGGTAGTTGTTAAATTTATAAATTTTATTATTATAAAGCTCGTAGAATGCCAATTCTATAAATAAACATCTTCTGTTATATATTAATTTCGTAGAACGTGTGGAGTTGCTTAACAATGAAATTAAAACATCAGTCATTCCACACAAGTAATCACAGGAAAACCACTTACCCATCAGAAAATCGTAAATATCCTGATTTGGGCGATCATATGCCGGTTCATATGAAATCTTCCTCTTACTCATTTTATGAAAAAGAAGAAAACGAAGAATTTAAGAAAATGATTGATTTAGCTTAACTTATTTTTTTAATTTCGTCTTATATTCGTGTATCGTATCGGCAATACACTCAGCGCTGTTCCGACTTACGACATTATATATCGTCATATATTTATATTTTCGGGGATGTCCTTCGGGGGTACTCATCGCATGCTCAATCGATCCCCCATATATCATTCTCATACAAGACATACGTGTCTCGACAACAAATGGGATATGATTGAATTGAAAAACAACGAGCAAGTACGCGCAGAGCTTGCGACATTTAGCACATGTGGCATTGCATATTGTTACAAACGTGCTGTCTAATTTTAGAAATAAGCATATTACGATATTCCTGACTCCTTGAATGCAAATCAGCGTTGAACGAATCAAGTTGAACAAATAAGTGTACAAGTCCCTGCGTGGAAACTGTCAAAATGCACGACCACGACCATCGTCCGCCAAACCAGGTGAGCCATAAAACACAAATCGAGGAACCAGTCGAATTCGCGGTCAGTTTGAAGCTTTACAGGTTCTTATCTATCTTTTTTATACAATTTATTATTAACGTCATATATGCAGAAGAAATGTTTCTTTGAGAGAGAAGCATATAATGAATGCAAGGTATATTCATATTTTACAGTCATGCGAAAAGTGAAATCTGTTGAGTGGCAACTTCTTTTTTCTTTATGAATTTACATCGAATTACATCACACAAACGAAAGATTACAAATAAATATTGTTAATATCTTTCAGAAGTACGCACTTGCCTTTTAATTTACGTATCCACAGATTGCAATACGATTTTTATTACTGAATTATTCAACGTTGAAGCAAAAGGCATTTACCTTTCGGTTTTAATCGCCTATGGAGAACAAATGAATCAACATATGACGTTTGTTAAGAAATCGATAGAAAGAAAGTTCCTTACTATATATATTTATCACATTTTTGACAATTAACTATAATTTCATTGTAAAAACTCGACTAAAAGATAAAATGAGAAATTCAACAATCACTCTTTATCTTTTATCTTGACGTATTTTGTATCGAAAAACAACATGAGTTTATTGACCTTGATATATCTTAGAACTGGAGACTCCAAACTAAAATATTTCTCTCTCTCTCTCTTTCTCTCTCTCTCTCTCTCTCTCTCTCTCTCTCTCTCTCTCTCTCTCTCTCTCTCTCTCTCGAACCATGTTATTAATTTAATAATTTCTGCCAAAATTATAGCTTATCAAAGTTTGAATTATTAATTGAATGAAAGTACGTCTGGCTCATCGTTGAGTTGTATTACGTATTCGGCCGCTCGTTAAAGAAAGTAATTTCATAGCAAAAACGTCGAAAACAAAATGGGTGCGTTCACGACACTCAACAGTTGCGTAACTATTGAGTAATTCGTTAACGTTATTGGTCTGAATGTAAGGATCTAACAGTAAGGACCAATAGTCACTAATCGCTCACTGAGCGGTTTTCTCCGCTGAACGCACCCATTGGATGCATTCAGTACTACAACCGCTCACTGAGAGCTCAATGAGCTTTTAAGCCAGCGGCATACGGTGCTTGTTTTCGTGCTGGATTGCTTGCTGGATGAAAATACTGCGTTCTGATTAGTGTATTTCCATTCATCTTCGGAAACGTACCAATCAGAACACAGTATTTTCATCTAGCAAGCAATCCAGCACGAAAACAAGCATCGTGTGCTGCTGGCTTTACATTTGATTGATATATTCCTTTACATTTAAAAATATACACCAATCAGATGCAAGAGCTCACTTAGCGCTCAATGAGCGGTTGTAGTACTGAATGCACCCATTGGTTGCGTTCGGAAAACAAAACGCTCACTGGGCGATTAGTAACTATTGGTCCTTACTGTTAGATCCTTACATTCAGACCAATAACGTTGGCTGCATTTAGCAGACTCAACAGTTGGACAACATTACTAGATTTTCCACTGAATCTCGCCCCTGATTGGTAAATACTTCTGGGTCAATGAAGAATCTAACAGAATGCTCCAATCACAGATAATAATCACTAAGCGCTCTCTGATCACTTTGTTCTACTGAACGCGGCCATTGACGAATTACTCAACCGTTGTGTAACCGTTGTGTTTTCTGAACGCAGCCATTGGCCGCCTTCAGTAGAACAAAGTGATCAAAGAGCGCTTAGTGATTATTGTCTGTGATTGGAGCATTCTGTTAGATTCTTCATAAACCCAGAAGTATTGACCAATCAGGAACGAGATTCAGTGGAAAATCTAGTATTGTTGTCCAACTGTTGAGTCTGCTGAATGCAGCCAATGAGAATACGTAACAGGTTATGAGCAAGAACACAACCATGGAACTACGTAAACTGATAGACGAAGAAATAGAAAGAAATTTCCTGTCTATATAAAGAAAGTAACTATGTAAGTAGAATCGTGCATCATCGGGCTGTTTCGGTTGTCATCCGAAGTGCTGGAAATAAAAAGACCTTCACAGCTCTTTCTATATCTATTTCCTAACCTTTACGAGGCAGTTTGTATAATGACGTGTGTACGTTCTCTAGTTTTAGGGGGTCTATGTTCTTGCTAATGTTATTAATGAGTGGTAAAGTGAGTGAAAATTCATATGAATTTAAAAGAAATTATGGGTAAATATTATTTTATATTATATTGAATATATATATCTTATCACATACACACACAAAATTACTTAATTAATTACTAATTAAATTAAATTCATATTTGAACCACCTTGTATTTGTTCCATTTCTTATTTTTAATCAATTCTTATTTTTTAATCAATAATGAAATAAAATATGAAAATTATATTAAAATCTTATTAGTATATGTTATTATTTATAAGTATCATTATTAATTTATGAAAATAAAGGTTTTATTTAATATTTTACCCTAACTGCACCGTACATCCCTGATAGTAAATATGTTCAGAAAACATTCAAGGGGTGTCTTGGAGACGTCCTATATCCTTAGGACGGCCCTGGGATGTCTCTGGATATCCTCAGGAGATTTATGCTAATCAAATGGATTGCTTTAATCTCTTAAAAATATGCGTTCTAATCATAAATTTTCTTTTTCTTCTTCTTCTATTTCTTCTCCCATTAAAATTCTCATTATTGCATCCATTAGTCTATCTCTTTGTCTCTCTCTTTTTACAAATATTAATTTCTTTTCTAATAAATCCTTTTTAGTTGAAGATTGTTTAATATTCACTAACTGAGAAAGAGAGGTTATTAGAAATAAAATAATAAATTAGTTTATTATAATTATTAATATTCTTATTAATAATAAGATATATAAATAAAATGTATACTTACAGGATAAAGATGACAAAAAATCTTATGTATATTACTAATCAGGTTATATTAGCTGTCAGTACACATTCATTTAATCCATAATGGAAAAAAATATCAAAACAGCCAAATAATAATTTAATTTCATAAAAATCACTATACTATTTTATTCGTTGCCGAACGTTTTTAGCTAAAACAATGGCCGCGTTCAGTAGAACAAAGTGATCACCGAGCGTTTAGTGATTATTGTCTGTGATTGGAGCATTCCTTTAGATTCTTCATAGACTCAGAAATATTTACCAATCAGGAGCGAGATTCAGTGGTAAATCTAGTAATGTTGTCCAACTGTTGAGTCTGCTGAATGCGGCCAATGGCCACGTTCAGTAGAATAAAGTGATCAGTGAGCGCTTAATGATTATTATCTGTGATTGGAGCATTATTTTAGATTCTTCATAGATCCAAAAATATTTACCAATCAGGAGCGAGATTCAGTGGAAAATCTAGTAATGTTGTCCAACTGTTGAGTCTGCTGAATGCAGCCAATGGCTGCGTTCAGAAAACACAACGGTTACACAACGGTTGAGTAATTCGTCAACGTTATTGGTCTGAATGTAAGGATCTAACAGTAAGGGCCAATAGTTACTAAGCGCTCAGTGAGCGCTGTGTTTTCTGAACGCAACCATTAAAGATAGTGGCTGCGTTCCGTTTCACGCATCGAGCGCATCGATCGCAACCAATGCGTTGCGCGCATTGATATCGTTCCGTTTTCGTTAATGCGTCTATGCGCTTTTGGAAACGAAACGATTCTTGATGCGTTTGATGTGAAAGGAAAAATGGATGCTACTATGATCACAATGGACATCGAAACATTGACAACAATAGCCTTATTTTCATTAGTGAATGATGACAACAGAATTAGCAGCATTAGTAACAGTAGTAGTAATGAGTCTATATTTTATCAAGAAATCTTGACCTGTAGAAAAATATTCACACACATGCATTAATTTAAAAATACATTTGAATTGTTTCTAAAACTTAAAAATTTCAATTTTACCTTTCGATGCTCTTAACGCGATCTCTTTTTCGAGAAACATGGTGATCATTTCGTTATCCACTAAGGCCCAGTTCCACAACTTGCTTTAAAGGGAGTTTAAAGCAAGTTGTGGAACTGGGCTTAATACGGGGAATTCAACTTTGTCGACTTTGTCCATTGTACGTATCTCTGATTATCTGTATGTTTAAAATAAAAAAATATCGGTACGTTAAATATATCAGTCGTCACGTCACGTTGTCAGTATTTAAATAGGTACAGTATATAAATTATATAAAAGATTATAAATACTAATCTGCGCATGCCCGCATCAACTGCTTCTAGTCCGAACTGTAGTAGCTGATGCGCGCTTAATGCGATAGAGGTGGGGGGGTTCTAGGGAATTCTATACGCCACCAATGCACGAATTAGCTGAAACGGAACGGTTCTGAATGCAGTTAATGCGCTCGATGCGTGAAACGGAACGCAGCCAGTATAAAGCCAGCGGCACACGGTGCTTGTTTTCGTGCTGGATTGCTTGCTGGATGAAAATACTGCGTTCTGATTGGTATATTTTCGAAGATGGATGGAAATGCACCAATCAGAATGCAATATTTTCATCTAGCAAGCAATTCAGCACGAAAACAAGCACCGTGTGCCGCTGGCTTAACACAATCCTCTATAACCAAAGATTCCCGATCTGTCATAGAAAAGCTATTAGGTAGTACGAATTATTATAAGCATCAACTTTCCTGGCTTATCTATTTTCTTTTCCTTGCTTACGCCTTTCTATGCTATAAAATTACGTGGTACCACCACCAGGCTTTTGCATAACGCATAATACATAACACATAAGGTCCAATTCCACAACTTGCTTAAAGCCCATATCAGACTACAGATTGGGATTGAGTATTGGATTGAAATTTAACCAATCAGGAGTAAGTTTACTATACTTGAGATTATTTTCTCTTTTTCAATTGGTCAAATTTCAATCTAATCTCAATCCCAATCCATAGTCTGATACGGGCTTTAAACGGAGCTTAAAGCAAGTTGTGGAACTGGGCCTAAGAGAATAAACCAATTAGTTTTCTTCATTTCCCTCCTCAGGATAGAAATAAAGAACTCTGATTGGTTGATTCTCTTATGCGTTATGTATTATGCGTTATGCAGAAGTCTGTGTTTTGGCCCTATTTATCCAAGATTCAGCGGAGACTCAAATCTCACGTTATTTGGATTTGTCACATCACTGTTAGATGGTGCCAGGAAGACCGGCAATTAGGCGTTATTAAGTTAGGTTGTTAGGTTAAATGTCCCATGTAGGAGAATCACGAGAGGTATAATTGTGACTTCAATGTTCTCGAGTAAAGCACAATTGATAAAACGCACCGGGAAGAATGGTGTTGGACGTTACGATTTTTTAAAACTCTTAGCTACCGAATATCAAATAACTAAATCTAGAGGTAAGAGAGTGTTATATATATACATATATATATATATATATATGTATTCCATTTTGATATAGTATTGATAACGAATTACGTCGTTTTGTGTTCCAAAAGATGCAAAGGAACAAGTGCTGGCAAATCTAGCAAACTTTGCTTACGATCCTATAAATTACGGATACATAAGACAATTATCCATAATTGATTTGTTTCTTTGTGCTCTGTCTGAGAACAATCCAAGACTAGTACGTTTCGCCATTGGTGGTATTTGTAACTTATGTTTGGGTAAGTGTATTATTATAAAACCAAGGAAGGTCGTCACGCGTACACAATATATTTCTCATCTATACTTTTTTCTTTTTCAGATGCTATAAACAGGATATATATTCTACGTAATCGAGGTGTTGAGTTGGTATCCTCACTGCTCTCTTCCCAAGATGAGGATGTTGCACTCTCTGCAATTTCTACCTTGATGTTTTTGATTACATCTGAGTCAAAAAATGAGATAACATCAACTGAAATTATCAAACATATGTTGAAACATTCGTGCAGTCTGAATATTCGTATTAAAAATCTAGCATCTATATTTCTGACTGACTATTGTGAACCTAGTGAAGTAGAAAAAGTGAGAGGAGAAGAACAATCAACTTACTCATAAAAAGTGATTAAATATTCAAGACAACTTGTATATATTTATACTACTCTAGATATATATACATTTACTTGAATAAGAATTACTATATAATTTTTACTATTTAATTTTTACAAAAAAAATCATGAAGCTGATTAAACTTTTTACTGGAACCCTCAAATATCATCCTGCAAGAATGTTCAAAGCAAGGTTATTTGCCAATACAACTATAAATAATCTAAGAGAAGGAGACCAAGTGTCAGTTTTCAAAGTGATAACAAATGATGACATACTCAAGTTTGCTGAATTGACAGGTGATTATAATCCAATACATGTCGAATCAGCAAGAAACATTGTGCACGGTGCTTTTCTCAATGGCCTAGTGTCGGGAATAATAGGTACAAAGTTACCTGGTGCCGGTACTATAGTTATCGAGCAAAATCTTACGTTTCCTAAACCGTGTTATGCTGGTGAATCTGTAGAAGTTATAGTAAAGATTGTGTCTGTAAGAAAAATTATTCTATGTACCTACATGTGTATCGCTAATGGAGAAAAGGTTGTATTGGAAGGAGAAGCAAAACTTATAAGGAAAATGTTATAAATTTCTGGTCAGAGTTGTAAGGATTTTAATAAAAAATTCTATCTTGTAGTACACACATATGATTTAATATAAACTTTTTTATTATTAACATCTTGACATGAAGGACGAATGTTTGCATACTTTACGATAGAAACTATGTATCTGAAAAGCTATTTCTGTTTATTGTTGCAAAAGTAATTGTTACCTAAATATAAGTAAAATTTTAAATTCGACAAAATTATCTGTTTACATATCTCAAACATAAAACATATATAAATCAAAACAGCAAAAGTGGAACGCCCTTACAGCACGGAATTCGAACGTGTAAAGTTTTGCTTAACAAGCACTTCAGATGTGACCCATATTCATGGTAACATTGCGACAGAGTGCGATATGTCTCGAATGAAATTTAAAGGATCAGTCTTATTGCATTCGCGAGAATCACGCAGTGAGTATAAGTTCATCATTTACGCGTAATTGCGAATAGATATTTGTCAAGTCGAGACAACTTGATATCTCTTACCGTGACAAGTAATATACATTAATGAATCAATCACGAAGAAATAGTTAATATGATCCGGATTAAACGGTGCTTTAATTTTCAGGCCAAAATGTATCTGACGTTAGTGATGGCAGCCCTATGCATATCACATTCCTACGCAGAAGGAAACAATACTCTTCCAAATACAGTTAAGTCACCAACGAACTCAAGCGAACCGATCGGCTGTGTTTGTGCTGTATTCTTAAGTGGACAGTTCAAAAAAGGCAGCAAAGAGCAGCCTAAGGGCAATCCCGCACTTCTCCATGAGCATCCTGATTCACTTCCGTGCAATGCTATGGGGAACAAGCTCTGCACTAATAAGTGTCTCGATGCTGTAAGTTTTCAAAAGTCCAAGTTGAGATTGTCACTTTTGTTTGGCGTCTGTAATAAATTCTATTTTATACATCGCGCGGTTCTTTTTCTCAATTTTCTGCGTATATTTGGTTGTTCAAGAAATCATTGCGTTTATTTCCAATAAATTGCTTTAGTTGTATATTTAACGTATTGAACGCATTTAGAAATTCATGAGCCCGTGCACGTTTGACAGCTGACACTTATAGCTTCCATCAAGGATAAAAATGCGCGGATCGATCAACAATTATTCTTCCTATAACGTCTTGGAAATGGAAAGTCAGCACGAGCATTTTCGCCAAGTTTTACTTTTTTACTTCCAAAAAGGAAAGAACGCTGTGCAGGCTTGTGAAAAGTTGCGTAAAGTTTACGCAGCCCTAGTTTACAAAGCCCTAGAAGAATGCCAATGTCAATATTGGTTTGCTCGTTTCCGTTCTGGTGACAACAGCAAAGTGAAAGATGCACCTCGCTCAGGCCGGCTATCGGAGGTTGATGATGATGATAAAACAAAGGCATTAGTAGAAGCTAATCGACGTTCTACCATTCGTGACCTCGCTGAGGCACTGAAAATATCAACTGAAAGTGTTTATCTTCATTTGAAACAACTTGATTACGTCAATAAGCTCGATGTCTGGATCCCGCATAAACTGAAAGAAGTTCACCTCATAAAACGCAGACATCTACGATCAACTTCTGAAACGTAAACAATCCGACCCATTTATGAACCATATGATTACTGGCGATGAAAAATGAATTGTTTACAACAATGTGAAGCGAAAGCGATCATGGAGTAAGCGCGACGAGCCGGCCCAAAGCACATCAAAAGCAGGCATCCACCAGAGAAAAGTGATGCTCTCGATCCGTAGGTTTGGAAAGGTGTGGTGTCTTTCGAGCTCTTACAAAGGAATGTTACGATCAATTCGGACGTGTACTGTCAATAGCTCGACAAATTGAACGAAGCAATAGCAGAAAAGTGGCCAGAATTGATACATCGCAAAAGGGTGATCTTCCATCATGACAACGCTTGATCACACATAAGTTTGATGACTTACGAAAAATTGTTGGAGCTTGGTTGGGATATGTTGTCTCATCCACCATATTCGCCAGCCCTTGCACCATCAAACGACCATTTGTTTCTGTACTTGTAAAACTTTTTAAATGGAAAGACGTTCGCCTCAAATGACGCTATCGAAAGGCATTTGGTTCAGTTTTTCGCTAATATAAATAGAAAATTTTTCGAGAATGGGATCATGAAGCTTACCGAAAGATGGCAGAAGGTCATCGAACAAAAAGGCCAATATATCATTGATTAATGTCCATCCTTTATATAAAATAAACGGTCTTGAAAATCACCGGAAAAAACGCAGTGATTTTTTGAACAAGCCAATACGTACACGCAAATATCTGCCGATAATGAAGAATTAAATTTGCATCTTGCAGATAGTGAAACACCTGCCGAACAGTGCTGCGATTCTTTGCGCTTCCATCGACCGTGACTGTCATAAAGAAAGAGTAAGCGTTTATCTTATTCGCCATTTTGCTTCTACTTGCAAAATTATCGCATAAACGATTCATCGATTCACCATTAGAGAAGTAAAATTTTGATACATGTAATATCTCCCCATAGGCTTATCTCTTCATCAAGAATTGCAAGGACGAATGGACGAACACGAATCTTTCTGCGGGCCGAGAATACTGCTGCAAGGATGGCCTGTCGTACAAATGCCACTGAAATTGATATTGAAATTCACGACACATTTTTGCACGACTCTAATTTATATGTTATAGAAGATTCAACTGACGTTTAATAATATAATAAATATACATCGACCCGACGTCCGTGAGTACTTTGAATGTCCCTCCACTCGCTCTAAATATAGCTCGCGGAGATCATCATGTGCACTCTTGAAAAGACACGTAGGAATTCAGCGTAAATGCCCGAGATACCGCTTTCTATATTTAGATTTTGAGGTGTGGGAATTTTGCGTGCACAGTGAACGCGTATTTGAAACCTGTGGGAGTGCTTTGCGGAATTCCACCGGAGTAGCCACCGTCTCGTGAAGTGTCGCATCCCCTGAACTCTGCTCGGAGAGTTACTGGGTCAAGTTCAAGCATAACCCCGATAATTTTAACAAGATTGCGCTGCCAAAGCTTGAAACTTTACAGTTCCGCCTCGTTTAATCAGTTTATTCGTTCTGCGAGCTCTTGGAAGACGTTCAAGATGCGCGGTGACACAACGTTGTAAAGTTTCGCACTTCGTACAGATCATTGGTAAATATACGCAGGAACGACGTGCGTTCGCGACGACACAGAAGATCTCGCGAGTCAACAGGCGCAAAATGTGCGCACGACTCTTGGCTTGCCCGTTGTGCTCTCAGCCTGGATTTCTGACACTTGACGCGCTGCGAGCCGGACTTGTGAGTGTAGCCACTCGACCCCTTGTCTGCCCTGTCTGTAACGAAGTGCTGTTAGGCATAGATAAATTGACTATACACCTGTTCGGTCATACGATCAATCTGAGCAGTGACAACAATGCGACGGAGACATCGAAGCACATGAACGTCATCACTCCTAATAACGAGCGTCTAATCGCCCTCCACAATCTGCACAACATCAGCCCGCAGAATTGGAGCATGCTGAAGACACAGCAGTTGGACAAGACGCAGGTATCGATCGACAACAGCGGCGCTTGCACGGAGTCGTCAAGTTCCGCTGCGTCAATCACAGGGAGCAAGGTCCACCTCATAAACACTCAATCTCAAGCATCGAGCCCAGACTTGCTCGAGAAAGGCGCGGCTCAGCAGTTTGTGTCGGATTACAATTACGACGTGATCAAGATAAATATTCTCCCACAGGCGGACGAAAGTCACAACGTACCGCTGGGAGCGACAGCGAGCTTGCAGGAGGTGTTGAAGACACACTGTGCCACGCAATCCTTCAGCAACGGCAGTGTGTCTCAGGAAAATACGCAGGCGGAAAAGACCATGTCGGACTTTGCCAGCGACTGGATGAAGGAGCAAAGCTGCGGGTCCTTGGCCGTAACGAAGGTGGTAGCAACCGTGGACACCAACGTCTACCAAAGTATCGAGGCAGAGTGCGTGACAAAGTCGAGCGACAGTCAACGTGTAGCGAAAGAGCAATCGATGGTGAATTTGATGGATAAAGAGAACGACCTCTCTGACTTGCGATCGATTCCAAACGTGGCGCCGATCTGTTGCACAGACACGTCGCTGGAACAACGATCCAACGGCAGACGAAGTCCACGCGATGCGATAGAGACGAACGTTAAAGATGAAGAGCACAGTTCCAAGGAGCAGAGGAAGATACTGACCGCGCAAACGTGCTCCAAGATCTTTCAGGTGGCAACGCCGAAGGACAAGATGGAGAGATGCGACGTCTGCGGCTTCTACTTCCCCGACGTGAACATTCTGGCGCTGCATCAGCAGTTAGTGCACGAGCAGGAGTTGGGGAACGTCCAGGGGAAGGTCCTGAAAAATTACTCGTGTCACCTGTGCTCCAAGATTTTCAAAATGAGGGGCAGTCTGATGGTGCACATGCGAGTCGTGCACATCGGCCACAATTTAGGCAAGTGACCGCAATTGCTGCATTCTGAATTCGCTTGAGCCAGTTTAATTATCCGGTCTGATTACTTTACGTTACACACAATTGTGTGTGCGCAGGTCCCTTACCCAAAGACGGCCAGATCGAGTTAGCGCACAGTGATGTCGGATACAACTGCCCCACGTGCGGAAAGCGGTTCAAGAAAGTGAGAATATTTTCCCGACTTCGTCTCTTAACGTAAATTTTTGTCGAATTTTTTTCTTTCTCTTTCTCTTATCTTTGTTTTGCCGGCACGACGACAGGAGCAACACGTGATACAGCATCTGAAAACACACGAGGGCAAGCAGTGGGAGTGCGACGTCTGCAGTAAGATGTTCACGACCAAGTACTTCCTGAAGAAGCATAAGCGGCTGCACTCGGGCGAGATGCCGTACAAGTGCAAGATATGCGACAAGAATTTCACCTTCCAACAGTCGTATCACAAGCACAGACTCTATCACAAGGACGACAAGCCTCACACCTGCGCGACCTGCGGCAGGTCCTTCAAGGAGCTTTCCACGTTGCACAACCACGAGCGAATTCACACCGGGGAGAAGCCGTTCGCGTGTGAGACATGCGGTACGTTGTGGAGAGAACGGAAGTTGCCGAAGAGTGAGCTGAAGGCGAGCGCGCGGCGTCTCTTTAACAGATATCCATGATCCGCTGGGTTTCGGATTAACTAATAATTTAACACCGATTACTCCGTGTACTCACGTTTGCCGAGTGTCCGTAATACTCTGCGCTGTGCATGACCTTGTGAGCAGGTAATTTTCCGCAAAATCGTGCGCTAATCTTTCTGTTGGCGTGAATAAATGTACGAACTCTTAACAACGATACAACAGTAATCCCTCGGTACTTCCCGTATTGATTCTTCCGCAGGAAAGTGTTTCCGCCAACGTGTTTCGTATTTAGTCCATCGTCGAATTCACACAGGAGTGATGCCTTATAAATGCACAATGTGTGGCAAAAGCTTCCGATACAAGGTACCTCCGTATAATAATTACAAGATGCTTCTTCGCGATCGTACGTCTTTCGCTGTTGGATCCCGCCTCTCACACGCGTGATTTATGCTTCTAGGTGAGTCAAAGGACGCACAAGTGTCCTGCACAGACATCGGCGAGTATGCAGCAATCGCTTAACACGATCGCACAAAAGACCAACGATGACGATGAAACGGTCAGGCTACAGGAAAATAACACCTTACAATCGATACGAGAAAGCCAAACTGTTATGAATACCGTCGATAAGGAGGAGAACAAGTTTGTGCTGATAATAAATGCTCAAGGACAACATGTTTTTGCGTTGCAATCAGAGATGAGCAGTATATCTTCAAAGAAAGAACAAACCTTGGAACTTGAAGGCGCCAATAATACAAGCAAAAGTTCAAAGAGCAAGACATGGAGTACCGACGATCTTGACTCCATCAAACTCAAAGAATCTTCAGAGACAATGGAGAAGGCACAGTCGGATAACGAGAAGATAAACATGAAGAATACAAATGATCTACTCTCACTGATGATGTCGCGTCTCGAGAACAGCGTGTCGTCTTCTACCTTTGAAATGGAACACCTGAGAGTATCCTCGCCTAAGCAAAAAGAGAACTTGATAGACTCTTATACAGATTTTTCACAGATCTCTGATAATACACAAATGAATCTTGTGGATTCAAGCATAGAGCAGAATTTTGCCCATGATAAGGATGTTTCCGATTCCTTGCAAACTATAAATGTAGAGTCGTTGAAGGAATTGCTGTACAGCATCGATAGAAAATGAGAAGTGTGTATACCTGTTATGACAGTACAAACTAACATTATGTTAATATGTGTCCATCGACCATAGATCAATATATAGAAAATTGAGATATTTATTCCAACTGCAAAATATGTACAAGAATGAACATACACACATGCACCGATATAATGTTTTTGATTGTATAATGTTCCAATGAGCACTAACTAACAGTAATATTATATCAATGTTACAATTTCTCATTCAACGATAGATTTGTTTTCTATCGCTGAGCGATTGTGACATATTCAGAACTTGACAAGATACAGATATGTCGTCGACACTTGTAAAAAAAGAGGAAAAGAGAATTGATGCAAGGTGGAGCATCCAGTGCAGCCAGTGTAGCAATAGAAAACAAACCTATTGTTGAACAAGAAATCATAACATTGATGTAATGTTACTATTGGCTAGTGTATTTAATAAGGTTTCATCATTTTGTACATGAATTGCGTGTGTAAACCGATTAATGGAAACAACGACTTACTTGTTTCCATCAAGTAAATTTAAATTTGAATATATTTCATACGTGATCTCATGCTCCAAATATCCAAGTGCCTAAAGTGAGTCGCAATCTGCCGCTCGCTCGCTCGCTCTCTCTCTCTCTCTCTCCTTCTCTCCCTCTCCATCTCTCCCTTTTTTTCTCTCTCTCTCTCTCTCTCTCTCAATTTTCGCTACAGGCATCAGTTAAGGTTAAGCCCCAACGCCATTTTACGAAAAGTAAAATAGATTTTAGAATATTAATGAAATATGGTACAAAGAGGGACCACGCGTGTACGCAGTTCTCAATGGTAAAGAATTACACGTAGTTTCGCAGCGATAAAATCACACCCAACGGCCTCGAGGGCTAAACTTGGAAACAATTTGCCGCTGTCCCTTATTGCAATCTAACCTTCGAAACAAGGTCCGTAAATAGAGAAACGGAACAAAGTTAGGTCTTCTCATTCACTTCACACGACTTGGCTCGTAAATAACGGCGATCGTGGCTCAGCTGATTAACCACATACAGTCAGGTCAAAAATTATTTTCGTCTTTTGCTATTTTTGGTGCTACAACCGGTATTGTAATTGTCTTTCTTTTGAAAATTCTCATTGGTAGTTGGGAATGTATTTAAACTATGTTTTCATTACTTCTGATTACATCTTAAACTATGTTTTGATTACTCTGTTCACTCACACAACTAAACTATAATATTACACGTACATAGTATCACGTACATCCACCCAGATTCTCTGGCTCCAAAATGGCGGCCATGAGAGGACCTAAAGCCAGCGGCACACGATGCTTGTTTTCCTGCTGAATTGTCTGCTAGGTGTCCTTACTTGCTGCTATGCGGGTAGCTGTGCAGACAACTCTGCTGGCTGTGTTGCTGGTTTGGCTTCACATGATGCGGGTCACGTACTGGTTGAAAGATAAGTAGATTTGCATTAGGGCTGCGTTCCGATATTCACTGCTAGCACTGAAATTCTATGGTATACGTGACACAAACTATGTATTTTCAGTACTGACAGTGAATTTCGGAATGCAGTTTAGGTCATTATAAACATGGAACAGATAATTGCTGTTGCAGTAAAACGTAAAAGAATTGCAGTTTCATTTTTTTTTTATTATAGCGTTGCAACAAAGACGACGGAATCAATTTCGCCGACGTTTATGGAGTCGACAATGGTTACAACGGCGCAATAATTACGCAAGTGTACTTACTATGTTATTTACAGAACTCGGGTGAGTATGAATCTATTAATATAAATTTTTTTTTCAATTTCTTTTCCTGTCCTATGTACTTTACTTTTCTGCTTATAGAGCTGAAAATCCTAGATCTTTCAAAAATTATACTCGACTGGAAGAAGAGGTTATGGAAAAACTATTATTTCTCATTACTCCATACATTGAGAAAAAGAATACAGTAATGAGAGAAGTTATTTGTCCTCGAATGAGATTGAGTGTAACTCTTCGATTTTTAGCAACTGGCAACTCGTTTCAAGATCTCTCGTTTTCCATAAGAATTGCTCCAAATACTTTATCAAAAATTATACCAGAAGTATTGCAAGCTATTATTATTAACTATATTATAGCTATTAAGCTATTACAGTGCTTGAAGACAAAGTGATGTTATTCCCAAATAAAGACGAAGATTGGGAAATCATAGCTGAAAAATTTCAAACTATGTGGCAATTCCCTCACTGCATAGGCGCTTTAGATGGCAAACATATCGTCTTTCGTCCTCCACGCAGTGATGGATCAAAATATCGTAATTATAAAGGGACAGATAGCATTATTCTTTTGGCCTTAGTAGATGCAGAATATAAATTTATCTTTATAAACTTTGGCAAAAATGGTCGCACTCATGACTCTACAGTGTTTCGTGAAAGTCCATGAGGAGTAAAATTGAAGGAAAATACTTTCAAATTACCACAACTAAGTACTCTGTTTGGTTTTAATGTTAACTTGCCATATGTAATTATAGCGGATGATGCTTTTGCATTACATATTAATTTAATGAAACCTTATCCAGAACGTGGCTTGACGCAACAAAAGCGAATATGTAATTACAGATTCAGCACAGCACGAAGAACGTCCGAAAATGCATTTGATATACTTACGAATAGATTAAGAGTTCTGTTAAATCCTATAGCATTAGCTGTAGAAAAAGTAGAGCTTATAACGTATGCATGTGTCCTTCTGCATAATTATCTTTTAAATAAAAAAGAACTTAATTATATGCCTACTAAATATAGAACAGAAAGTTCAGAAACATTAGAGTCAGGATTATGTAATATAGGCCAACAAGGTGGCAACCGATCCTTTGCTGCAGCTGCAGAAGTAAGAGATATGTTTGCCAAATATTTTAATACAATTGGTGCTGTCCCATGGCAGTATACTGCTGTGTAGAAGGGAAATTATTAATTAAATTTAAATATATGTATTTATAAAAGATTGTAATCTTTAAACTTCTATAATATACAATACAATTTATATAATATACAAAAAGAAATAGTATTACTGTTTTATTAATGATATATTAAAATATTATGTAATAATATATTAATATAATATTACTGTTGTAATGTATATACTTTTTTAAAATAAAGTCAAACAAGACATTAAAGCAAATGTATCATCACTTACCTTAATTGACTGATGAAGTATCAATTATGATTGGTTAATACTGTTTAAAAACAAATACGATTGATCAATTCTAAGAAGTAATCGATTAAGTTCATAGATTATTAAACAGATACTATGTCATTATTTAGGATAAATTAGGAAATATATTGTCAAATTATTATAGTAAAGCATTTTTTGATAGAATACAATTTATTGCACAACAGCCATACAAATTATTATTTATAATATGTATTAAATTATCACTATGTATATCAAAGTATCAATAAAACTTTACAGTAAAACTCTGCCAAATGAAATGTTGTAATCTTTAGTACTATAAAATTAAAATATTTCTTATACGTTTAAAATAATCTTTGGTACTATAAAACTAAAATATTTATTTTTATATTTTTAAAATAATTATTTTCTAACAAATAAAACAAAAAATACGGTAATAATAGAGAAACCACTTCTCTTTGAAAAAGAAAAACTGTGTTTATATGTTACTTATATTTTCCATATCTTGCGTGTTAGCATTTATTACTGTTTGAATCAATATATGCATTATTTCTAACTTTAATGCTTTATTCTTTATATCTTTTAATAATAATCCAACAAATGCCATACAAGCATCCACAGGATCTAATGCATTAGATGAAGGGTTACCCGCAATTATATTTGCTGACTGTACAACTACAGGTTGCTGTAGGGTCTTACTTATCATGTTTAGAGTATCGGAATAAATATTGTCGTTGCTTAATTTACGTTTCTTTACAGTTTTAGTTGATGATTGTATAGAATGTACATCACTTAAAACTCCTGAAGATGAGGTAGAAATTGCTGGACTAATATCCTTTTTCACTATTGCAATAAAGAAATACATATCAGATAAGTAATTAATATTCACATAAAATAAAAGATTAAGTATCTATGTATAGTCAATAATGATAGATGTTGAACCCATTCCTTCTTTCGATTAATTTTTTGTTTCAGCTTCCCAGCTATCCAAGTTCTTGCAGAATATTAATAGTTGGAGGCCACTTTCCTGTGAAGTAAGATTACCAAAGTCTGAGGTTACTGTGTCCTTGAATGCGTCCCAGTAAGCAAAAGTTGAATCAAATCCTAACGTCAAATATCAGAGAAAGACGTGTTACTAGCAGTGTGATGACAAATTAATGCATCAAACTAAGAATAGGTTCGTAACATTGATATTTACTGTCATATCATCAATGCTTTTGACAGCTGTGCTCGAAATTTTTTATCACTGTATCATGTAGCATACTGACTGATATATTCTTCTTATCTTTTAGGAAACAGGATGTTTTGCCTAGGTTTGCCTCTGCAAATAAGGTTATTGTGATTTACGGTCAAGAATGATGAACTTTTTCCCAAAAATTGAGGATCGGTCCTTAAAGAAGACAACTACAGTAAAATGAAAAATAAAAATCATATAAATGGAAGATGCAAGAGTCACGAGAAGTCGAGGATCACAAAGAAAATAGAAAGTAAGAACATGTTATGTTATGCGTTTATTTCCTCTTTTCCTATTAATTTTGATAGTTCGTACAAAATTAATAGTAAATCTAAATCTTTGCTTTCATCAATTTTGGCCCAAATGTCTTGTAATATCTCTTCTTTTCTTTTTAAGGAGGAATTAAAATCGGATCTTGCCCAAAATGTTGGATTCTTCATCATGTTATGAACGTTTCTCTGATGTTGTATTAAATTTTCTGTAATACATAATATTAAATTGTAAGAATGCTAAAAATATTCTGGCAGTAAATGCAATAAAATGCTTAATAATATACCTAAAAATGTAATGATTGTTGAATGTTTACGAAGACTTTCCTTCAGTTCTCTATTATGTCGCTCACTTATATCGTTTGTTTTATGTAATTAATATTAATATTCTGCAAGAACTTGGATAGCTGGGAAGCTGAAACAAAAAATTAATCGAAAGAAAGAATCGGTTCAACATCTATCATTACTGACTATATACATAGATACTTAATCTTTTATTTTATGTGAATATTAATTACTTATCTGATATGTATTTCTTTATTGCAATAGTGGAAAACTTATGCCAATGCAAAGAACCAAGTCACAACCATGACCGATAATTTACTGAAGGCCTTACATACGTCTAGCAGCGCCAAAAATGCGCTAAAAGAAAAAATTTTTTTAGTAGGGATAACAATAGAAATTAATAAAAATAAATAGTACATATTATTTATTGATATTTAAACTTTATAAAAAATTTTATTTCACTTTATTTTTACAAAAATTACTATATAAAAACTCACGTGATCCACAACACTAAGAAAAAAAAGTTGCTCCACGGTCGGCATCATATCTCCAGTAAATGTTGATCGATCTGCAAAATTTAAAAAAATTCTTGTAAAATAAAATTGTAGTTATAGTTGTCGAGCCGGAATTTTGAATTTCGAAAAATTTAGCAATTTATGGCAGTTTAAAGAAAAGTATGCGTTTTACGTCATAAATTTTACACTTTAATTATTTTTATAAAATTTTTAAATCAAAATATCAAAAATCCGGCTCGACATACTATAGAGAAAATGATTTCGAATATTTAAAAAAAAATCGCATCAAAAAATATTAAAAACTATATGAGTTATCATGCCGACCGTGACGGAAAAAGTCGTTTCGAGAAAAACGCGTTTAAAGTTTTAAGTGCGTTTTGCTCGAAGTCGAGCGCAGCTAAAATAAGAACATTATGAATTTTTTTATTTGTTTTGTAAACTTATGTTTAATCTCCTATTCCGGCTTCGTATTGTATGCCTTCCTTGTCGGTAATTAATTGTTTTTGTTTATTTTTTTCCAGTCGACGAGCTGTTCTGGCCTCTTTTGTTGCTTTAGTAGCATTGATTCGTGCGTGTTTTAGCCGGTTCGCATTTTCTCCGAGACAATAGTGGTACCCCTCATATCCAATTGTTATTCCAAGTAATCTTTCTATTCTTAATATATTCTCTGCCCCGTTATTAAATGTACATACTGTAACATTGGTAGCTATTTTAACTATTCTCCGACTACCTGGAGTACATTTGGGTGCAATCTTCCAAATTTTCGAATTGAGACATTCATTCACGTTTTGTGTAAATCCACCTAAGCACTTTTCAAGTAATTGTTCGTCACTCAATGATTCATAGATGGGTTTTATTGCCTCCAGTACAATTGCAGGTAAAGCGGCTTTGTGCGTGTATTCACCTAATGTACCTTCGGCTTTTGCTCTCTGCCAATCACACCAACTTTCTTCTCCAGGCGGACAATAAAAATGCTGAGGTTTTTCGTCCGTTGATGATTTATGGTACAATGTCGCCCATATGGCATTTTTCATATTTTCCAATGAGTCAATATTATTTCTTATTGCTAAACCGTAATAAATAGTTAGTTCGTCTATTAGTTTGGCAGTTAATTTTCCTTTTCCTCCCAAACTTACTCGTTTGCTCTGATTTGATGTACTTCGTTTATTTTTCTGAGTCGTTGATTCCTCTTTTATGATTGACGTCGATTTTTCATTGACGACTTGGCAAAGACGCTTACCCATACGTTTTTGGACATGACCCACGCATTCTTTCTTCTTTACCTCGAGGTCTTGGCTGAGAATTCGTGATATTAGAAAAAGTTTTTGTATCACCGTCACCTATGTAATATTCATATTTAACCCCATAATTTTCTATTGATTTCCGAAACATTTCCACAACACTATCTGTCTCCATTATTCCAGCACTTCCTTTATGATTTGCTGAACAATGTTCTTGATGGTTCTCTAACCACAATTCATACTCAGCCGTACCTTTATTCTTTTCGTGAATTTCGCATTCCTTGCAATAACTACTTTTTATCACGAAGTCGACAACTTTTCCCGTGAAATAACCAATTAATGTTGTAACTCCGAAAAGCGAAGAAAAGCCTCTCTTCATCCAAGTGCCATCCCCGGATACAATAATTCCATCTTGAGATAATTGTAGTTTATCTTGATTGGCAGATTGTTGAAGTTCTTCTTCAGCAGCAACTTTCATAGAAGCTTTAACAACGGCTGTTGAAGCTTCTTCAATATTTTTTCACAATTGAATCAAAGGTTGTTTGTGCGATACATGATGCTAAATCCATGACACCACAAAAAAGCTGTATTGCCTTCAATCCTTTTCCTAACAGTCGGAAGGCGAATGTGAAGCGTCGATTTATCTCGTATGCAGAGTTTATCAAAGGAGATGAAAAAACACTCTGAATATTATCGTCACACGTTGTACAAAAAACATTTAACTTGAAACCAAGTCCACGGGCACTTGCTTTTAAAAATTTCACATTACCACCACATGTACGACAGACCACACACTCCGAAATAGCTGTAAAAACAGCAGTAAACTGTAAAATACAGTATGAGAACGTTGGATCGAATGAAACCTCATGTAATTGTCCCGCTAATTTTTTTGCAGCCGAACTAGTGTATTCAGTTTCACTCTCCATCTTGTCTGGCCTTTGAGGAGGCTTCTTCTTTTTAGGGCGTGAAGATCGTTCACTCTTACTGCCTTTACGATCTACAGCGACGTTTCAACATTTTTAAAATCTCAAATAAGACACACAACTGTACGCTTCGAACAATCAAAGACAACTAACGTTCAATTTCAGAAACCTTAGCAATCGACCCTAAATATATTCTCATAATGCTTTACAAATGTTCCCAGGTATATTTTGCGATAACAAAGAACTGACAGACTGGAGCCGCTCCGAAAGTAACGGTCAGCCGTCTCAAACAAAGGACAGCTACCTGCGCGCACCAAACTCTCGTCGGGCAGTCACATTTTCTACCATAACTTTGGATCTATGGGGAATTTTTGCAATCGACTTTCACAGAAATAAGCCTAAAACTATAGAGAACAACAATCAAGTTAAAAAAAACAAGTTAAAAAAAAAATCGATTTTTTGAAAATTCTGGACGTATGTAAGGCCTGAAGCATGCCAAAACACTGAAAAACTTAAATTATTTATTTACATTTAATAATTATTTATCTAGTTACACATACATATATATGTATGTACACACACATATATATAATATATATATATATATTTATTTATTTATTATATTTTTTACTTTATTGACTTTATGTTCTCACTCGTCTCATTTATTTTGTTATACGCACTTTGTTTTCACTTATGTCATTTTTATTTAATATTATAAAGTATTTTACATTTATAATTTGACGATACATGATATTTATGACACACGTGTGTACAGCTGTCACAAAGTTTGCGCAAACTAACAGCTTACCACTTAAATAATATTACTAACCTTTAGGAATTAAAATTATGTCGTCTAGAAGTTTTCGTTGATACCAACCTTGTGTTCGCCATTTTTCGGGAAACTGTCGCGTTACCCATCGTGTGTCGCTGGCTTAACTTTGTTCCGTTCCTCTATTTACGGACCTTGCTTCGAAACAAGCAGCGGATTTTACGTAGTACTTGTGAATCACATCTAAAGCCAGCGGCACACGGTGCTTGTTTTCGTGCTGGATTGCTTGCTGGATGAAAATACTGCGTTCTGATTGGTACTTTTCCGAAGATGGATGGAAATGCACCAATCAGAACGCAATATTTTCATCCAGCAAGCAATCCAACACGAAAACAAGCACCGTGTGCCGCTGGCTTTAGTTTCGTTGGCTATGGGCCAGAGCACAGACTTCTGCATAACGCATAATACACAACGCATAAGAGAATCAACCAATCAGAATTCTTCATTTCTATCCTGAGGAGGGAAATGAAGAAAACTAATTGGTTTATTCTCTTATGCGTTATGTATTATGTGTAAAGCCAGCGGCACACGGTGCTTGTTTTCGTGCTGGATTGCTTGCTGGATGAAAATACTACGTTCTGATTGGTGCATTTCCGAAGATGGATGAAAATGCACCAATCAGAACGCAGTATTTCCATCCAGCAAACAATCCAGCACGAAAACAAGCACCGTGTGCCGCTGGCTTTATGCAAAAGCCTGTGCTCTTGCCCCACACGGCACAACCACCAATTAGATTTAGGCACAGTTTACCTCGTCGCACCATCTCGCAATGGTTATCCCCCCGCAACTCTATGCTCTGTCCCTATATTCCTATGTCTATGGACTCGACGCGAGTCACTCGCGTTTTCTCGCTCCGCGATTGGCCAACGCATTGCAGTCCATCGTGCGCCAGCCAATCGGTGTGGCGCCTCGGCCGCTGGCGCTGCGACGCACGTACTTTTGAACGCGCTAGAACACCTGCGTCTTTTGCAAGCACTTCGGTCGAGATATCTCGTAGCAGACGACGCGCTGGGATCGACTTGACAGCTCACTCTGTATTTTCACGTGTCCCCTCGCGCATCGCATTGCGTAACTGGAGAGTCCGACTTCCAGGGGAGGAGCTCCCTTTTTGCGGTGAGTAAGAGCGTTATCTCCGTCGGGAGAAGGGACACGCGTCTCCTTAGGATCATGTTCGTCGTGTCCTGTCGCGTCGTCGACGCGTGGCTACGACGTGGTACGTCGCAAACGGAAACGCGATCGACAAACGCACATAGACACGCACAGCTGATCCCTGCCAAGCAGCCAGGCTGTTTTGACATCGCTCGGCCGTAAATCGTGCCTGCGAGGCTTATCGATGGCCAATTGGCCGCTGCCAAACGCACTCGCCAGCCAATCCGAGGCTGCCGCCCGTTCGTTCACTCGTCCGCTCGTGCTCTCGCACGGCGAGCTCTGGGGACAACGAGGCCGAGAATCTGACATCTGTTACGACATCCTGAACGACCTCGTCGAGCCCGTGGGCCTCATGAGTCCGCGAAATTATCGCCTGCGCTTCACGCCGTGATCATGTCCCTGATACGACGCAGCGCGAAAAGAGGCGAGTCCTCGCCGCAGCGACGCGTCTCCTCGCGTGCGTCCATGTAATGTCACGGCAGAGCGTCGCAGTGGCGCATATTTCGATCGGTTCGAACGCACGCAGCACGACGATCGACCGGACCTTGGCACGGCCGAGTGCGTGTGTTTATATGTAGAATGTAATGCGCTGCGTGTTCACGGACGAGAAAGAGAGAGAGAGAGAGAGAGAGAGAGAGAGGGAGAGAGAGAGAGAGAGAGGGAGACTCATTGGAAAGATTCGTCTAGGAGAACGACGCGCGACTCTGTCTCTCCCACTTGCTAATTACCGATTCAAAATTTGTCAGCTATCGCGCGTCATCATGCAATCGTCGCGTGAACGCGTTTGCTCCGAATCGAAGCAATTGCGCGATGTGTGTTAATGAGTTGCGTCGGAGTAACGTCGTCGGACGTGACGATCGCGATGACAAAATCGCTCGTCTCTCTCTCTCTCTCTCTCTCGTCCGCGGTCAGGAACGTCATCGATTTCCGCGCATCGATAACACCGAGATATCGTCGAGACGCGTAAATGCGCCGCGTTACATAAATGTAGCCGCACACGGCTGTGTGTACTTTTTTCTCTTGATCCACGACGCACACGTTCCGCTTGCTCGAGAACGTAGAACAAGTCGATCAATCGGGCGCTCGAATGAACACGAGCGAACGAAAGAAAGAAAGAAAGAACGAGCGAGCGAATAACCACGTGATCGGCGCGCGACAGGCAACAACGTAGCGCGACGATTCGCCATGTGCGGTTTCTCTCTCGCGGAAAAGTGTCGCGCGGCCGGTTTATGTAAGCGCTTCGTCGAGGCCGGTTCGCGTTGCTCAGCACAGTCGGGTAAAAGTGAAAATTTAAAAAACGGCCGAACAAGATGGCCGTTCGCGCCGCGGCGCTGCTGTTGCCTCGGCTAAGTTCCACTTGGCGGCCGCGTCGGCTGTGAGCGTCGTTCCATCCTTGGCCCTTGTTTTCGAAAATTCGTGAAAAATGTATGCGATGTTTCATCAATCGGGCAATTTAATTGGCTGAGAGTCGTGATACCCAGTGACATTCATGAAATATTGTATGCGACAATTTTCGAGAATAAGAACCCTTATCTCTTGCCGAATATCGAGCAGAAATGGAAGAAACGGAATCTCCAAGTGGAACGTGCGCGCGTGCGTGCGTGTCGTCGCGACGCGGCGATCCGGTGCGTTTCCGAACGCACCGTCGAGCTGCAGCACTCCGCCGTGACACGGCGGCATGCGTGCATTGGATCGTTCGTTCGTTCGTTCGTCCGTTCGTGCGTACGTACGTGCGTGCGTGCGTGCGTGCGTACATACGCGTGTGCGTGCATACGCGTGTGCGTGCGTGCTTGCTTGCCTGGCCGCGGCCAGTCTCATCCAATTGTTCGTCTGCGTAGACTGTGACAGACTTACTGGCTTGCCTGCGTGCGTACTCGGTTTGCTCGCTGGCTAGCGCGTGACGTTCGCCGAACCAACGGGGGCGGAGCGTCCTCCGGTCTCCCAATTCTAACCAACCCGAGCCCGATAACCCGTCGCATTCCGTCGATTCGCCTTCAGTACAGCTCAATGTGTTCAGTGTGTCGCTTCGTTCGTGTTTGTTTGTACATCGTCGTCGACGGTGGTGTGTGCACGCTCATCACCCGCACCGTGTACGGATAACCGTTCTCTCTCTGTTTCTCTCTGTCTCTCTATCTCTTGGTCGCGACCGACTACGCTCGCACCTACCTATCTACGTGCGTGCATGTGCGTGCGTACGTCCGTCCATCCGTCCGTCGCTCGTGTACTCCAGGACAATAAGGAAACGTCGCAACAACAATCGAGAAAGATACGCTCCGCTGAAATCGCGCGATGTCCTGGGCATGTTTTCCCGACATTCAGGTAAAGAGCTGCATCAATTATCTGCCTTTCCTTTTTCTTTTCTCTCTCTTTCTCCCTCCCCTCCCCGCCCTCTCTCCGCCTCGCTCTCTCAACACACCACACACAACACTCTCTCTCTCTCTCTCTCTCTCTCTCTCTCTCTCTCTCTCTCTCTCTCTCTCTCTCTCTCTCTCTCTCTCTCTCTCTCTCTCTCTTTCCTTTCTTTCGAAACGACTCCTCTCCGACGAGTCGAAGAGAACGTCGGAGAGCAGCGCGTAGGGTAGAAGGAGGGATCCGTGGTCGAGCGAGAGCGAACGAGAGAGAACGTTGACGAGACGGAAGGGAGAAAGGAGGGGTGTAGAAGAGTCAGAAGGGTAAGGAAGAAGGGGCTTCTCTTTTTTGGAGGACCTCAACCTGAGGTCACAGAGAACGACGGAGAGCGCGAACAGAGTGGGACGAGAGGAGAGAACCCGTCCTCCATTACTCGCGAGCGAGCGCAAATGGTGGCTGGCTCGCTCGCTCTCTTGCACGCGACGCACGCGACGAGTCTTTGTTATGCTCGTCCCAAGTAGTCTCTCCGGGCTTTGGGAAGCATCAAGCGGCTACGAAAAGAGAAAGAAGCCACGCGCGCCCTGGGCTCTCTGGACTCTTTCTCTCTTCGCTCTTGTCTACTCTTCTTTGTACCTTTATCGCAAGCGCGATTCCTCCTCCTCCTCCTCTTCCTCCTCCATCTCGGGAAAGCGAAGTAACGATGACTTTGTTGCCGTCATGTTAACGGCATAATTTCGCGTTAGTCACAGATAACGGACGGATGAAGATGAGAACGGTGCAGTCGAGCGGTCGTAATGTTTGTTATGATTCTCGACTCGTTACTATCTCCTCGCCGCCGTCGCCGTCGGAGGAAAACATTAATTGCGCATCGCGCCCTGATCATTTTATTTGATCACGCTCTTCTTATCCGAGCGCATATGGCTTGCTTGTCCAAGGCGTGAGGATTTTTTTTTATTAGTAATCGCAATATCGATGCCGTTAGCGTCGTCGTCGTCGTCGTGCCACTGTTACCCGCTGTCGTCGCCGCCGCCGTTGCTGCTGCTGCTGCTGTTGCTGC